ATGCTTTTTATCCGGAAGAGATGCTGCATTACATTGGTGCATCTTAATTTCATCTTTTAGCTTAGGAAACCCCAGCAGACCCCATCCTCCCCCCACATGTTAGGTTAGGTTTAAAAAAGTGGCTGCCCATTTTTTTAAGGAGAAAACAAAAACTAAAATATAGTTGCACAAATCCACAAATCACTGATACGCAAAGTGAGGTTACGTGGCGTACGTTGGAATTATATACGTCATAATACGATTGCCGGTCGTCCGGTTTGATGACTTCGGTCGTGTGAGACGACTAATGTTGGAGACCCGGTCGGAATTGGTATATTGGTAGTTCATATTAAGTCGGACACAGAAATCCGCCATTCTGGTCCGATCCGATGCAGTGCGCGCGGAGCTTTAACAAGCATCCGATTGCCATTTTAAAATAGTTTTTTGTTTTTAAAATTTATATTCACATTTCGATTTCTAGTAGAATAATATTGATAAGGTTGAGTTTGGAGGGAACCACAGTACAGTTTTATGATTAAACCAGCTAGAAAATTAAAAAAATATTTTGCGAATTACTTTTTTATAAATATTTTTATTTCATAAATCTACCTTATTTTGAAGGCGCTTGTTGTTTTCCGGAGTATTTTAATCAGATATATCAAACAATTTACTTCCGTTGACAAAACTGATGTCTGGATTAATGTTTCAGAATTATTATAATATGAAATTAGATAGGCACTTATAGTTATATTCGAGGAGTGATTATGAATTCATTTGTAATTAGGTAGTTTGGCTAGGTTTTTATGTATTCTTGGTAGCGAATATGAAACCAAACGTAAGGTAAGTGTTTAGCAACGAATTTTAAGTGACTAAAATCCAACGTAATATGACGTTGGTAATTGGTAGGATTACATTCCCTATTAGGTCAGATACCGACGCGACGCGACGTCGAGGCGACCCGAATCTGTATTCCCCATTTAGGTGCAAATAAGGGTCATCAGGCGGTCGAACCGACGTTGATACCCGACGTCGGGTTTATTGAACGCGACGTATACCCGACGTTAGATAACGTCCAAATGCTACTTGGGCATATTCCATACCAATTAAACTTTTAGTTACGTAATCCAGGGCGCGATTTTTAAATTCATTGTTGCCAACCATGGACGTATTCGGCACCGGGCTAACTGGAATTTAAATTTCCCGCTGTGGATTCAGGTGTAAATAATGTCAAGTTGCCACATTTATTTATTTATTTCCTAACATTGTCATTCGTTTTGACAGTTTAGTTTTGTATTATAATTGTGTTGTGATAGTTTAAGCTTAAACATTTTTACCAGCAGATATTGAAGTAGAACATTGTTCTTTTTAGAACCTCTTTTAGTACGAAGTGGTACAAAATAGCTTAATAGCCATATTTTAACGCAACTTTATTAGAACATTTTGAATGGAAAAGCAGTAGTAATGGCCCTCTATGTTCTTTAAGCGCTGAGTGAAAGAAGGTGAGTTTGGGTGATGTAAATAATAACTGTTTATACAGGGTGGCGCACCTCATTCGCCTCGGTTGATTATACGAAAACGGAAAGATGTAGAAACAAAATATTTTATGGGTATATGTGGGGAGGCAATGTGCACAATTTAAAATTATTTTGAAATATACAGGGTGTTTCAGAACTAAGATCCATACCAAAGTTATATTTTTTCTTATGGAACACCCTGTATTTTATTTCATTTTAGGATTCTTAGGTCCAAAAAAAAGGCATTTATTATAAGGGTTAAATATCTTTAAAATCTTTGGTTTTTGAGATATTTAAAGATATTTAAATTTGCATGCTACAAGAAAATAGATTATTAACCCCCTGTACATTACTTTTCAGAGTTAATTCTTATGCTGAGTTTAAAGGTAGAGAAATAAACTTTACAGAAAAATGTTATTGCTTCCTTAAATTTATACAGGGGTATCAAAAATGGCTGATCTATTTTAAGAATATATTTTACATTAAAACTTCGTTATTTCAAATACAACACCCTGTATTTTTTTAAACAACTCGAAGCATATTCAAATGCTCTTTCAAACTATATTAGGGTTTCCTATACCTATCTATCTCAGATTTTGAATAAAAAGCGATTTTTAAATAAAATGACAAGATCAAAATGGTTGGTATCGCCATGGCAATTTTCTAGTGACAGTTAGTAACTATTTTTAAAATCGACATTAGTGTATGGACATTATTATTTAAACAGTTTAAATTTTTTTAGCTTAGATTTTGAATAAAGATCAATTTTTCAATAAAATGGCAACCAAGAGGGATAGTGTCGTCATGGCAAGTTTCTAGTGACAGTTAGTAGCTATTTTCAAAATCGAAATTAGTTCATGGACTTATTTAAATTTATACCAGTTTACTTTTATTTAATTTACCTACAATAGTTTAATAAATAATATTTATTAAATATGTATTTATTATTCTATCAAGAAAAACGAAGAAGTAGCGTTCTTTGATTTATTTTACGATGACTTGTAGACATATAAATTTTTTATAAAAGAGCCAATTATGGCAAATTAATTTTCTTCACTTCCAACGACAGATTTCTGCCTAATAGGTTTTTTAGAAACCACATTACCAGCTCTGCGAAATAGGACAAGTAGTTTTTCAAAGGAACGCTTATTAGGAAGATTCCTATTTGGATTTCTTTAAGCATAAGCCCTTGAGGCCAAGAAGAAATTTTCCTCACAAAATAAAATCACTAGGAACATATTTATTCGTCCACCAGCAGATACTGCTTTATTTTTCTTGATAAAATAATGAATACTTATTTATTAAACTATTGTAGGTAAATTTAAGTAAACTGTTATAAATTATAAATAATAATGTCCACTATAAAATTGCCATAGCGATACCAGCCATCTTGATTATATTTTTTCAGCCATTTTATTTAAAAATCGCTTTTTATTCAAAATCTGAGCTAGATAGGTATAGGAAACCCTAATATAGTTTGAAAGAGCATTTGAATCTGCTTCAATTTATTTAAAAAAATACAGTGTGTTGCATTTGAAATAACGAAGTTTTTATATAAAATATATCCTTAAAACCGATCAGCAACTTTTGATAGTCCTGTATAAATTTAAGGAAGCAATACCATTTTTCAGTAAGATTTGTTTCCCTACCTTTAAACTCAGCATAAGAATTAATTCTGCCATTGTTGTTTTCCGATAATAATAATAATATATTTTCAAATTGCAAAACGGCAGACGTGGTCAAAAACATTTAAAATTCACCAAAAATCTATACCTTTTTTACCTGGGCGCCAGCCGCGTCCGCCACGTTGGGCTTAGTGAGTCCCCATGTCATGTACAGTAAGTATAGGGGCCTCACTGTACAAAATCTTAGGTCTGGTCAAATACATACAGATAGCCTTTCACTGGCTCTTAGACTATAAAGCCGTATTATGCAGATATAGTTGTATAACTTGCATTTCTTTCAATGATAGAACAGCTAAAATATAAAAGAAATTGGCCAAACTATCTCGATAGTGTGTCTATTTTTTATTATCCGTAATAATTCATATTTAAATCGTTTAGAATCTCAAAAGTAGAAGCGAGTCATTTGCCTGGGCAATTTCGAGAATATTTCACCGGGAAACGTCGGCAGAGAAGAGCATTTTTAGATTACTTTCGTGTTTTAAGGCTATAAGATATTCTTTAAAAGGGGAACAAAATTTCATTTCCTTGGAATGATAACTATTACATAAATTAGCGAACGTTTTATTAATGGCGTGTAAAATTACAATAATGCACTCTGCTAGTTCAGCTTTTGATGCACCGCCCACATCCCGCAACTCTCCTTATGTATCCCAGCGCGACAGCAATTTATAGCAAATAAATTATAAGCTTAGGAGGAAATAACTTTTCTTCTGGTATAATATCAAGAAATTGATAATGAAACAGTTGTTTTATTTATAATTATCTGCCCGTCAAATTAAATACCACAGCGATTTTTTTACTCATTTTCAACGAGTAGTAACTTTGAAAAAAATGGACCAATTGTGTTGATTTTTTTAGCATATTAAAGATAGTTTTTCGTAGATTGATCTGATTTTTCTAAATTTTGTATGAGATTTAGTTTTCTATGATATACAGGGTGTGAAAAAAAGGAATGTAATTTTTGTGTTGCTGCCATTTTTCAAAAAAAAAATAACTAGAATTATAAGTTCTGGGTAATAACGTAAAGACTAAGACTAATATCTCGGGACGTATTTGGAATTTTTACGATAACTCATCTGGAATAAAAGATAATCAATTTTTACTCTAACTTGTATTTTTTCTACCTTTCTTAAGAGATATGCTAACAAAACTGAAATTAAGTTTATATTGTAGGAAAATGTTACATAAAAAGTTAATGTTAATTTTTACCCCCCCCATTGTGCATTACAGAAAGGAATGTGGGTATACCAAGAATTTTTCTTATTTGGATATGTTATTTTTTTTGTAAATATTAGATATAACATATTACGCCACATATATTCCTTAGCAGATCTTTATTGGAGTAACATATTCTTTACTTTTCAAATAACTTTTGAACGAAGAACTGACCTACATTCTTGACCTACTCATAACCAACTTTTTAAGAAAATTGCCTTGTGTAAAGCTTAACTTTGTTTTCTTTAGTCTCGCATTCTTTCCTTTTTGGGATAATATAATGCGGAAAATATGTTTACACATGAATCAGTCCCAGAGATTTAATTAAAATTGTTTGCATTAAACATAAAGCTATTATTTTTATAATATAATATGAAGGTCATGTCTCTCTAGCATGAATACAGGGTCAGCTTCATACTTCTTTCTTAATCTCTTTATTCAAAGCGACGAACTTCCTATATTTGATCCAATACTATTTAATAACTATTTGCCAATTATAAGTGGGTTCATAGCTATTTGTCCATATTAAACACTGTTTTTTGGGTGTATGGTTTTAGAAATTTTATGACACAAACACCATTTTATAAATTATGATTAGGCTACTTACTTTTGCTGATATTGCTGAAGAAATTTGTACAGTTGTTCTTAATTTCATCCATCTTTGGTTGGATTTTGTCCTGAAAAAAGAAAATACTAAGTTAAGTTTACTGGTCCCAACCGTAACGAAAAACCACAATGCAGAAAGATCACCACTGTACCACATATACATTCCTATAAACATTAAAAAGTTTAGTACAGTACAATAGAAGAACTATTAGACAAAAATACAGCGTTTAACAATTTTTTTGAAAAGAAGTTTTTGAAATTTATGATACCAAGGAATAGTTTTTTCTACTGCAACTGGGATATGTAACCAATTTGTGATTTTTTTTTGTTTAAGAAAGAAGCGTATTTTTCTGCTATTAAGATTGAAGACAACTGGATAACTTTTGTAAAGTTGCTTTAATACTTTTAAAAATAATTTTACGCACCACTAAAGGCAACTGCAATTTCTGTTTACATTAAGGGTATATTCCGTTACTTACCTTGGTTATGGCTTTATGTTCCGTTCCTATAGATTTCCTGAAAGTTTTCTTATTACGGAACACAGTTCCTGAAAAATTCGGTTATAACTGTCACCGAACTAACCAGCGCAAGAAGGCTGGCTTTTCTGGTTTTGTTTGTCAATCAATGTCATTTATGTGACAGAAATCAAGCAAATATTGGAAGTTCGAGTGAAATTCTCTTTGTATTTACCCTGTATTTACATCCAAAAGCAATGGAGGTAGGCAGTAAAAGTAAATCAATTTCATTAACTAAATATAATGGCTTTTTAGGACCATTTAAGCTTATCATGCAGCCATTGTTTCTTAAAGTCGGGAATATTTAAAGAAAACATGAACAAGACAACAAGTAATCGTGAATGTTTTGTAAGCTTTAAAAATATAAATATTGATTAGATTTGTTTATTTATTATTGATCTATTTTAATGTTGAACCCGAAAATCTTTACTTGAGCTGTCTAACGAGTTTAACAGTTTATTAATAAAGTACTTTTCAATACTAAACTCAAAAAATATTGAAACGTAAAAGCGGAGAACAGGTAAATTAAAAATGCATAAAAGATCAATTTTATAATAGATGTATTGAAATTTAGAAAACGTCAACATTTGACGTTTCCAGTATTTTACCAAACCCAGGGGCCGGAAAGTGAAATGGCAAAAGCGGTTCCACCGTTTCCACGGAAATTTCAAATAAAATATTTCCAGCCTCGGGCTCTAGGTGGTAGTGCAATTCATTTTTAGGTTAAGAAGTTGCTACTAGTTATTGTCAAATGGCGTTCAATCATATTTTTTTGTAGTTTCCATAGTTTCTAACGGCCATTGTCATACTATTGTCAAATTCGTTGTCATAGCGTCAATCATAATATTATCAAAAATGATTATCAAAACGTTTTTCAAACTACAATTTGTTATATGTGTTTTTATTAGACAATTCCTTTTGTTTGTGACCCTAAAAATATACTGTAAGTCTTTTATTTTTGCCATCATTTCAGTACCTATTTATATTTACACCATTTACAAAACTTTGGGCGTATTACGTTGGTCTTGTTTTATTATAATAAACGATGTTTTAATATTTGACTTATAAATTAAAACTTCAAATAATAAATAATATTTACACATGTTTGGCTTTAATTTTATTTAATAATTGTATAAATTATACCGTTACATCTTATTTTTTACACATCAGAACGATACTTGTTATTAGTATTGTTGAATTTGTGTAAAAAATAAGATTTAATAATCAAACTTAGTTATTTCAGAGTAATATTCAATAAATACGCTCATTTAAAAAGCCCGCGCTTCGGTCCATTTAAAACAAGCCCTACTCAATAGATGGCGCCACTTCTGTAGGACCATTTTTCAGTATGGCAGAGTCCATTCTTTTTCTAACTAGGTATATTCTTTGACCAAACCGTTCCGTATCAAACCGATGTTTTTCAGGAACCGCTCTTTACCGTACTTTACCGGTCTGGTTTGCCTGGTTTTGCAACGGAATACAGCCTAAGGTTTAATTTAATCGGTTTAAACTGGGAAAAGTTCTAGTGCACTAGGTGGTGATAGAGGTAGTGACTTACCCCAAATATGATTTCTACAGATATATTCTAAAAAGGGGTAAATATATTATCAGTAAATAGTGTTATATAATTTTAAACTCAATGTTCTCGTATTAGTGGTGTCTCAGTGCAAGCACAGCCTAATCAGCGCCAGCTGGTCATCTTAATTTACTGAGACTTTAGAGCGTCGGCATACGGGTAGTCAAGCTTTCGAAGCGGAAGTGGTCTCGAACTTGTAGGAAATCTCCCTCCACTCTACCTTTAAATAAATAAATAAATGCCTTTATTGTCAAAAGATTTTACAATTTGTAGAAAAAGTTAACAAACAAAAAGTAGACAAACAAACAAACAAAAGAGAATATAAAACATTATACAAATATCATTGTCATGGTCTTATTGTTTAAGATAAACATTTATAAATGTTTACAATGTCACAGAACAAAAAAAATAAAAATAAGATTCAACATATTTAGTAAGTTTATACTAAATATCAATGACCTCTAGATAAATTTACCTCGATGTCATTGGTAAATATAGTAATAGCAAACATTAGACCAGTGTTTACAAGATCAAATTCGATTATCAAAATATAAGTCATTTACGGCGTAGAAAGCCTTGTCTAGTAAATAAGATTTCAATGCGAAATTAAGAAAATGATGCTATGGATTTGATTTCAAATGGCAGGTGATTGTGCATTTTTTTCGAGTTGTATAATATTGAACTTTTAACTAACTCTGAGCGTGGGGTAGGTAGATAAAGATCTTGCTCCGCGTTCCTGAGTGGATAAGTGTGAGATGGCCTTTCTTGAGAAGCTGATACATGCTTACGTATTAGGCAAACGGATTCAAATATAAATAAGGAAGGAAGAGTTAATATTTTTAATTTTTTGAAAAAGTCCTGGTAATTAGTTCTTCTGTTTAGTCCCAGTAGTCAGTTTAGTCCTTTGTAGGTAAATAATACTATCAATCACTTCGACTCCGTGTCGACCGCCAAACGACCCGTTCTATTATTTCCGTAGGACGTATTAGAGTGGAGGAGAATTCGTTCCAAGTTCGAGACGCTTCCGCTTCGTGTTTGAGACGACTCGTGTGTGCACGGACTTAGATTACCCGCAATTCAAAATGGTTATACCTTATACACATATTTACTTTTGCTATAATAAAACTGTAACGCCACTAATACATTGCATTACTTTTTATGGACAAATATGGTGATTAAAATTATTCTTCATATAAAAATACGCGGTTAAATAAAACAAATTTTGGTCATTCTCGTAATTAACAATTATTCATCAATTTAACTAACTGGCTAAAAAGTTTTCAGAAATATTTATGCAGAAACTACGCTTTTTCCGAATAACGATTATTTTACGTGTTGTAAGATTATGTTTTAAAACCCAATTCTCTCGAGAGTGTTAATAATTATTGTAAGTTGCTATTTATTAAAAAAAAACATCAACAAAGATGTTGTATTTTGCATTTTATATAAATTTTTATGCTAAAATACACTCAGATGCAAAAAAAACGCAACAGAGAAATTTTTGGTCAAATTTAAAGTGTTATATTTTTGTTATTTTTAGTCCTATTTGCATGAATTTTTTAGCAAACGGTATATAATTATATCAACTTTAATTCGTAAACTCAGTTTTTTGTAAACTTTATTAATTGGCATATCATACAGGGTCAATCGAGGGGTTGTCTTTTATTCTAACTTTAAAACACCCTGTGCAATAATTTCGTGTGTAAATTTTCCTAAAATATAATTTTACGGTCATGTCTCCAAGAACATTTTTTCTCTCAAGAATCATGTCTCCTGAACATTCTATTTTTTGGATCACGTCAATGCATGCTTAATTTTTAAGAGCGAAATGAACTGATCACGATCAATTTGCAATTTTTTCAGTTATCATTACTTTTGATGTAATTTTTTAAAAGACGAAATGGTTTTGGTGACTATTATCGTAACGTCATATTACGCTGCATCGGATAGTCTATACTAAATTAAAAAAAACGTTAAAGACTAACGATACCCTGAACGATACAGTCCTGGTTTTAATAAACATTAATAACGATAACGGAACTAACGATATTAAGGAAAACATCTGTAATACTGAAGTATACAAACAGAAAAAAAATTGTAAAAAATACCCTAATACTTTGTATTGCCTCCCTTGACTGCTAGAACTGCCTGTATGCGTTTGTTCATACTGTCACTGAGGCTGCATATATCATATTGCGTTATATTTTCCCAATGTTCTTTAAGGACAAAGCGAAGTTCATTTAATGAAGCTGGTAACGCTTCGCGACCTCTATCCCTCCTACCAAGCATTTCCCAAACGTCAAACATGATGGGCAGTTCATAGTAGTATATAGTTCAAAATGATTACCCAAGCTGCCTTGTCATATTGAAAAAAAAACTTCAAAAATAAATTATAATTAAAAAAATTGCAAATTGTTGGTGGCAAGTTCATTTCGTTCAAAAGTTTACCAAGGCATGTATTGACATGATCCAAAAAACAAAATGCTCAGGAGACATGGTTCTGACCCTAAAATTATATTTCAGGAAAATTCATACGAAATTATTGCACAGGGTATGTCAAAGTTAGGGTAAAAAACAACCCATCGATTAACCCTGTATAATATGCCAAATACTATAATAATGAATTTGCAAATTAAAGTTGATACCGTGCTGGCAACTGTTACTTTATATTCATCTTGCTTAAAAAAATAATGAAATTAGGGCTAGAAATAACAAAAAATATAACAGTTTAAATTTGATCAAAATTTTGTCCGTTGCGTTTTTTTTTGCATCTGAGTGTGATACATTTACAGAGCCTCTGTAAATTGAATGCAGAAAAACCTAAAACAGGTAGGTACTATCTATTTTGTTACCAACATATACTGATGTAATATTCAAATAACCTAAAAGTTACAATGTACAATTTATTAATAAAACTAATAAAGGGGTATGCATATACGTATAAAAAATTCAGTTATACTTGTATCTAGTACCACGAATA